CATCCAGACCATAGTAATGGAGACTATTGAATTTTTTGTTGAATTTCATGTGAAGCAAACCTGATGACAATAGCACTGTAGGTGCTGGTAGTTCAGAAAGCTTTCAGGATTTGGTTGATACTGTAGGATACAAGCCAGCCAAATATAAGAACTTTTAATTTTCACTAAGTGTGGACAAGAGATTAAAGCATGTGTTGAAGTTTCCCATGGAATCAATGGGTCAAAAATGGTCCATGTTGACTAGAACATGCCCAGAGTCCCCCCAGCCCATCCACTGGAAACAACTAAATGGTGTACAAAAACCCCTAATCATTTTTAGAGTAAATGGTCTTAAGGGCCATACTCACAAATATGCTCTTGTTGCCTTTCTTTTTTCCGCTCTAGCCAGCCAGTTTCAGCCCTGTCTCTTCCTTTGCTTTGACTGTGTATGCCTGTTGGTTTTTTTTGTGGCATGTGTCAAGCTGCCCATCGCTGCTGGGTTCTCCTGCATACTACATCAGTGTTCACAAGGTGTGTGTCAGTGCACAAAGGCTTTTCTTGTGCTGGCTGTTTCCTATTGCATGTTCCTCCTCCGAACACACCCACACCCAGGTTATGCACTCATACACAGCTGCCCACCTGCCTCTCAGAATTCCAGCCTTGAGTTGGAGAGAGATTGCAGGTGTCGGCTGAGAATGTCCCATCAAAAACACTGAATTATAAACATCTATTCCAAGGGAACGCAAACACCATATGACTTGGAGTTAATATAACTCAATTTCCCTTTACACCGACACATTCTAAACTATTGCTTTAATGGAAATGAGTCCTTTGATAAGATAGATTTTTTAAGCTCAAGTTAAAGTGGGAAAATGGAAAATATAATTGCTGAAAGATTTTGTAATATATAAAGAAGAAGAAGAGCGCTGGCTTTTATCAAACATTTATTAGAAAATATCTTAAGGAACAAATGCTCTTTTTTTTAAAAGGAGAAATGTAATGTGTTTTAGCTTCAAAATATTGCCCTGTAAAACATGGGTGGATGGGTAGAAATATAAGAAAAAGGATTTCTGTTCCCATTTAACAAAAGGGCTTATTTGCACACAGGGTCTGCAAACTTAAAAGGAAATATAAACAATGAAAACCTTTATTTAAGTAACATTGGCTTGCTAGGCAGTCTGTCTTGACGATTGCAAATGAAGTCCCATGGGCCAAATTTGACCCTCTGAAGATGGGTCCACAATTACCAGCACAGAGGCAAATAATATACAGTATATGCCAGAAGAAACCACCAAGAGCCTCTTTATATCTTAAAAACTACTACATTTTATTACAGTACAAGCTTTTCTGGAAACTGTTAACTTTATCCACAAACATTCACACCATAGTAAAATGTGTTCAAAGTGCCACAGGATAGAAAGTTTTGCTGGAACAGACTAAGAGCTCACTCACACATTCCTTTATTTAGATTATTCCAAAATTTTCCATTCATATAATGCACAGCTAACATCGATTTATTTGCCTGGCAGTTTATTTCCTCCTCACCAGTGGGATTGTTTTGAAATGTACCAATCATGTATTGATGTAATTAATTTCCATTCTGCACATGGTGTTGATTTATTTACAATAGGACCCCCATACCCATGGGGATCAGTATCCACTGATTCACTTATCCACAGTCTGAAAATATTAAAAGAAAAAAATCCAGAATTTTTTTTTCAAATGTATTATCAGAACCAGCCATTAGAAAGAACCAGAAACCATGCTATTAATACTTGTTAGTGATGAACACATAGCATGTCCTCTGGCGTCCTCTAGAAGCCAGTTCTGGTAATGCATGTGAAAATATTTTTTTGTTTTTTCTATGCTATATCTATATAATTTGCTATGACCCATGCTTTTCAGTATCCACAAGGGGTTGGAACCAACCCCCAATGGATATCAGGGTTCTACTGTATTTTGCGAAGTGGTCAGGTTGTTGTGTGCTGTGGCACTACACTTGTACCTTTTTTAAAAAAATCTTTTAAAAAATGTATTATTGGTAAATCGAAAGGGCCGGATCCTGCTTGGAATTGTTTGAGGGGAAAAAGAAAGAGGCATAGGCATTTATTAATGTACTGATAAACTTTTTTAAAAAAATAAAAAGGGGGTGCTAGGGCCTGCATTGCCTCAGAATCATCATGATAAAAGAATCTATTTAAAATACTTGCTCAGTGTAATCTGCTAAAATGGTTCAAATAGCTGGAAATGAAACAATTATGTTCATAACAATGTGAATGCACCCACCAATATATATGCATCACATGGCTGCATTTAAAAATGCACCGATTCCAAAAAGGGTCGAAATAAAACCATATGCACCCACCAATATATGCATCACATGGCTGCATTTAAAAATGCACCGATTCAAAAAAGGGTTGAAATAAAACCATTACAGTATTTTGGAACATGTGGTTGAGAATGGTCACAATTGTTTTTCTTGTTCACTACGTATACATTTTTCAGTGCGAACATAGACAGAAAGCTATGAACAAACGAAGCTGGAGTGAAAAGAGGAAGACAGTTTATCGTGCCCTGTTTCTGGAGTACAAATTTGCCTTTCTCTTTATAATCCTGAACTGAAAAACAGTCAATTTATACAGCCAATTGGATGTTTCTGGAGTACAAATTTGCCTTTCTCTCTATAATCCTGAACTGAAAAACAGTTGGAAAAACTGAAAAAAAATACAGCCAATTGGTCTGGGTCATGCAGTAAAAACCTAATATTCAGTGTCTGACTCCTCCTCCCTGTATGGGCAGCATGAAGAACTTTGTAGTTGTAGACGAGATAGTCATGTTAGTCTGTGCAAGCATTATAGCTAAAACTAAATAAAAATAAAAGAACAAATAAAAACATGGTGGCACCTTAAAGACGAATTATTATATTTTAATGTGAACTTTGGTGGACAAGTTCACTTCCTCAGACATAAGGGAGTAATATGACATGGCAAATACTTATACATGGCATCCAAATACAGATATCATGGCTGGTTGGCTGCTGGGTTGCTAAGAATGTCAATGCGTATTTAAGTGGACTGATTGCTTCTTTGAAAGACAAGATATATTCCACTGGAGCTTGTAATACATCTGTATGCATATCAGAGGCTATCAACCCACTGTTAAATACTTATTAACCTTCTTGCCAACCAACCAACCAACCAACCAACCAACCAACCAACCAACCAACCAACCAACCAACCAACCAACCAACCAACCAACCAACCAACCAACCAACCAACCAAAGCTTACATTAAAATATAAGTTAATCTTTAAGGTACCACCATGTTTTTGGCTGTTTTGTTTGTTCTTTTATTTTTACTTTTTTACTTATAATTGACACATGCCTCTTCAAGACATGGCAAATACCTAATTTTATCATGGGGGATATATTCAGAAGAAATGACTCAGTGGGTGTAGGGAAAACTATTATCATTGTGAAAAGTGTCAGATGAACATCTTGTTTAATCGATCTTGAAATGTGATTGGCAGGGGATTCTGTGACCTGTAGCACAAAGAGTTATGTTCCAAGTTCTCCTACAGATCCACTTCTTCCCTATAGCTGTTGCTTCTTTTGTTGCAAGCTTGTGTGGTATAAATGGAAAAATAAACATAGGGCAAAAGGGGGAAAGAGCTTAAGGACAACTGACTATCCCTGAATTCAATCTTTTCTAATAACGCTTCCATTGGAATCTCCAAAACTGGTCCTTGTTGTGGAATAAATTAACTATCAAATGCTTGGTGACAAAATAGTGATAGTCAGGTGCTAACAAGAACATTAATCATTAGAACTCCTTAGAATTTGGGAGCACTCCCTGCATATTCTATTTGGAGGACATACATAGAAGGGACAGAAACAAACAACCCAAAGATCTTTGGAGTAGATGCTTTTTCTTTTTCTTTTCGAAACAAAACTCTTATACTTGTTTCAAAGCATTCTTTAGACCAGAAATGTACATACAATATGACTATTTGTTAAAAATGGTATAATAATTTATTTTCTGTGTCTTCTCTCTCTCTCAGTTCCCAAAGTTTGCTCCCCAGATATTCTTGGACTAAAATTCCCAGAAGCCTTGACTACTAGCTGTCCTAGCCAGGATTTCTGGGAGTTGCAGTGCAAGAACATCAGAAAGCCCAACCATTGAATTAGATTGATACCCTGCCTTTCTTCTGCAAAATGGCACTGAAGGCAGCTAACAATAAGAAAAACAAATAAAGCCAATACAATTAAAAGCACTGCACATATTAATTAAAATATAAAACACAATTTAAACCACCTATGTGAAAGGACAAACAACAGTCACCAGATTAAGGTGTCCTCTGCAGAAACATAGTTTAACTGCTACAGATTTGTCTGAATAAAAATATCTTTATCCATCAGAAGAAAGACCATAAGAATGGGATAAGCCTAGCTTTCCTCTTTAGGGACTTCCACAGCTTGCCAGAAGGGACCAAGAAAGCCCTATTACTCCTAGCTAAACTTTAGACTGTAAATGTCTAGAGAAATTATTATAACACTATGAAGCGTTGTGCACATTTTGAAGGAAATAGTACTAAACAAGATTGTCCCATCCTTTCTGAATAGGCTTTGTTTCAACCAAGTTTGTCCATAGTTTTTACTTTCTTAAAGCAAGCCCTGTATGTTAAATAATAAAGAAAATGTCAGATTCATTCCATTCCCATGTATAAACTAAGTCTTGGGGGGGAGGGGAAGAAAAACAAAACCATACTTGGGAGCAAGGAGTTAACTTTGTACATTATTTTACTAGCAAAATAACAATTGTTTATTATTATGAATATCTCAAGATAGCAATGCATTGCAAATCTTGCTAATAAATATTTAAAGTAATCTTGATACCTTCAAATACTGCCCAAGAATTTTGCTGCCATACTATGAGGCTGTATCTGCCTGTGCTGTGAATATTAACAATGACATCTCTTCTGTCCATCAAACAGAAGTTTGGTGATACAATTCTCTGGCTTGAAGTCCACTGTGATGGAAGAAAATTAGATGACTTTGGAATATCCAGTCAAAACGTGATGTGAGGCATCTACCTGTGGAGAATAATTTAGATACTGTATTGAACACTTTCGCATTAAATGTTCAGCAACTCCTGGCCATCACCCACTGTCACAGATTAAATATTCCATGGTCCAGTGAATCTGTGAGCATAATAATTTGTTTTATATTTTACTGTTTATTAATAGAGCATCACGATATTTGTAAGCATGGCATAAGGGCTATCAAATCAGCTTTTATACCATTGTTAAGGAATCCATATAAAATGGGATTTAAACAGCAAGACATCATCCCTAGCAAATGGCAAACGCAGTAGACCAATTTAAAATGCTTGTTTGAGATTACATTGCCATTGAAGTCAGTCACAACATGAAAAACATGAAGGGGCATCCAACTGACTGCAAAAACTAAGATCAGCACTGTCAGTCGGCAGAACACCTGGCGAGACCTTTTCTTGATCTGAATGGTTGGTCGGGCTACTGCTGCCACTCTGTGCATTTCTGAATGTTCTGGTTTGACCTCAAAGCAGATAGGTATTCCTGGTATGAATTTGCTAGATGAAGAAAGCTGGCTTCTTTCCTCGCCAGACATTTCTGGTAGATTTCCAGAATTACCATCCTGTGGATGCCTTATGATTGCTGGCATCACACTAGCAGTCTTCTTACTATACTTCCTTCGGTGTTTCCTGACCAAAGTATAACTCCACCTTTCAGAGCTACAGAACTGTCCTTGAGACCCACGACTCTTGGGAGCGTGAAGGGTTAAGTTGATCATCTCATTCTCTTCTAGTCTTCTTTCTTTGCCTGACAATCTGGAACTGACAGATCTGCAGACTCTGGTATGACTTACCGTTAAGCAAACCAAAGGCAAAATGTACTGCATGAGTAATAAAGAAATAGTGAAAGCAATTCTGTACCAAGCAGATGGCCATGACTCCACACACAAGTGCTTGCTTTTGAGTGCTTCTAGATTCAGTGTATCATGAAGATCTACAATCTTGTGAAAAACAAGCAGAGGAGAGCAAATGGCTAAACCAACAGTCCAGATGATCAAAATGAGGTAACAGCCATGCTTCAGTGTCAAGTTGCTAGAAAGAGGGTGACGGATCAAGTAGTATCGGACAATAGCAATAGAAATTAACACCCAAGTGGAAACTAGGACAGACATACACTGGAGGAAAGGAATCACGTGGCACATAATTTTGCCAAACATCCACTGATCAAGGAGAACAGATGTCAATGTGAAGGGAGAACAAAAAACTACCACTAAGGTGTCTGAAAAGGCTAAGCTTCCAATGAGGAGATTTATTATTGTTTTTTGCTTGCACTTCACTAAAGCCACAAGAATAAGCAGATTTCCCACAAAGCCAGCAAAACTGATCAATGTGTAGAGCCCAATCAAAAAGAACTGTATGTCGTCAACACTGTTTTTATAGTCTTCCCACGTAGGGAAATGGGAAGCCAATGAAAAAACAGAGTCGTTCTCTGAGGCAAGTGTTCTGTTATTATAGTCTCTGAGATTGATGTCCATGTTGAAATCCTGTGAAGAACCAGAAAACAGAATAGTTATCAAAAGCAGCAACAGTAATATCAGGTAAATCAATTTCAAAAGTAGTTGTTCTTGTCTTAGCATTTTAAAAAAATATGACGGTGTAGTTTTACTCATGCTAATTACAACAATGACAATTCTCCCCAGAAACACACAAAAAAATTCTCCAAAATCATTTTATCCAGCCTATTCCTAGATGTTCCAAAGATGAGAGATTTCTTAGTCATCTCCAGGAAATTACTATTTATGTATTTCTTTTCAAACCTATATTCCACCTTCCTACAGAATGTTCAAGAGGAAGTACAATAAAAAGCATTTAGAACCATCCAGCAAAATAAATGAAAATTAATTAGTAGCAGGATAAAGTCAATTTCAGGGAAATAATCTGCAAAATCTGCTGAAATAAAATTGTTCTTGCTGATAATTTAAAAGTGAACTTCCTTTGGTAGCAAAGATAGTCTTCCAGAAAAGCTATTCCAGATCTTAGATGTCGCAGCTAAGAAGCCCCCATCCCAAGTACCCACATACCCAACTGCTGAAGCCTGGGTGGATTTCAAAGTAGGACCTCTGAGGAGAATCAACATTCTTGGCTTATATGAAGACACAGAGACCTCACGTTTTCTGCACCCATGCCATTTAAAAGTCACCATAAAAAGGGCTGAAAAAGTCAAAGGGACTACCATAAGCAAATTAGCAGTTTTCAAAGCTTTTGTCACAAGGTTGAGGTAATATGACTTGACTGCCTGGCTTCATTCAAAACACCAGTAATTTCATTCTAAATGAGCTGGAACGTCTGCCTTGTCTTCAAAGGCAGTCACATGGACAGCACTTTAGAGACCCCACATTAATTTGAGCTTTGTTAGGCCATCCTAAGAGGCACACCAAGTTCGGCAAGCTTCCATGATTTCCACCTGTCTTTATCAGGGAAGATGTTATGAAAAGCAAAGTCGGGAGAGGTTGATTTAACATACAACTCAAGTTGTTTGCAATGAGGCCTTGGGAGAGCAGAGGTATCTTGTCACCTAGATTTCATATTTTTGAAAGTGACTGACTAACTTTTTCTGTTTTCTTCCTCCCAGAATTCCTAGGTGTTACTCCAAGTGAAACCTAAAACCAGTACATCATTTGCTCGAGCCTCACTTGAATGTCTTCAGATCCCTCCTTCCCTGTTCTTTCTCAAGACATCACATAAACAACAGAGCTTCATCATCAGTGCAGTCCCCCCCTCCCTGATGTTGCCCCATCTGCTTCTTGCAACATCTTTTCTGATGCAGAGATCTGGAGAGCTCAAAAACTGGCACACATTTTTGCACCCTTTTGGTAAGTTACTGTAGCTTTTTGTAGCACACATTATATCTAGAGGAAATGAGAACATGAACTGGATTCAGGAAATTAGTCTGCTAATTCCACTTATCTCCCTAAATTCAGGCAGCTCCTCCCGATCCACATGCAGTAGTCAATACAGTGGGGTCTTGACTTGAGAACTTAATCCGTATTGGAGGGCGGTTCTCAAGTCAAAAAGTTCTCAGGTCAAATCTGCATTTCCCATAGGAATGCATTGAAAACCATTTGATCCGTATTTGCTCTTTTCTGTCCATAGAAACAAATGGGAAGCTGCTATTCTGCCTTCGACCACTAGAGGGGGATATTTTGTTTCTTTTTTTTCTTAGGTCAAGAAAGGTTCAGGGAAGGCAGGGAAAATACAGTCCAGGCAGTACCAGGCAGTCTGAAGCCTCCCAATCCACTCTCTAAACGCTGGGAGGAGTGAGGAAGCAGACAGGCACCCTTTTCACTGGCCAACAGTTAACTGAAAGTTCAAATTTTGCACTTTCCCTGCCTCCCACGTGGTTTTTTTTCAGTTCTTAACTCAAATCTATGTAAGTCAAGTCAATATTTTCCTACGAGAGCGGTTCTTAAGTCAAAATGTTCTTAACTCGAGCCGTTCTTAAGTCAAGACCCCACTGTAGCAGTAATCTGCTACAATAAGTCACTTGGGTTATGATGCATCCATATCCTTTGGCCAACTTTTTAAGTAGTACAAACACCCGTATTTTACTTCCTTGTGGACCAGTGGATCTGGAGGACAATAGAAGTGGCTTATAGAACATGGAGATAGTAAAACACGTAAAAACTATTTCTATTAAAATGTGTAACCTTTCAGATCATGACAACATGGGCTTATTTTGTGGCAAGTAATAGAACAAAATAAAATGTGATATTCTCACTGAAGACAGATACAGTACTGGTGATGACTATAATTGAAACAGCTCCCTTACACCCTTCAGAAGACCTTTTGTTAATTCCTTGGAACATCCAGCCACCCTCTCCATGCTATCTTACCATTTCAAAGGCAAAGTGCCATGAGATGCTGTTGCTAGGCAGCAGGGATGGAGGTGGAAGGAATGCTGCTGCTTAAGAAACAGCACTTCAGAGCCCTATTAGGTTCACCAGGCACATTAGTGTTGAGTATACAATGGGAAAAGTTAATAATGAAAATATTTCATTGAATTCTGTGATTTAAACATACACCCACAATCCTGGATTGTGTCCTATCTAATGCATCTAATTATCATGTAGTGTGCAAGATTGTAACTGGAGAGTTAGATTCAGCTCCTATCCAAGCCACCAAGCTCACTAAATATCAAATTACATGATATGCCACCTTTGCATTTGGAAGGTGATAAAATATTATCACATCCAAGATATGTTCCCTCAAAACTGCCCTAGTAATGCACTCAAGTTGCAAATGAAGCCTGTTGTTTATCTCCCAGTGACCAATCAGTCACCAAATAAAGTGAATTTGTTAGCCACTTACAGAACTACAGAAACCTTGCGAAGAGATTATTAAATGTTTTCTACACATTAAGGAAGTTCTCTTTCTAACTGTGATGCTGCTGTCTCAATTAGCCTGACCCTACATGTCTACTGGCCTACAACTATTTCTTTGCCCAGGAAACCTCACAGAGCCATTGTTTGGTACAACTTCGGGTGGGGACATACACTGCTCTGAATTCCTTGCCAGAAAGATAGATTAAAAATGTAGGAAACAATCTTCATTTCTGTAAGGTTGCGTGTGGGCCCCTTGCCCCTTTTTAGGCTTCCACTCAACCACTGGGGAAAAAAACCCAACGTGAATCATGCTTCTAGAAGTCTCCAAGAAGACAATCTGTTGATGACAGAAGCAAAACACCCCTGCCCCTGTGACAGTACATGCTATTTCGCTGTGGGAGGGAAACCCAAATTTTTCTTAACAGTTTTGTTGTAAAGAAGGCATGAGCATCACATTAGGCAAAGGTGTTCCTCATTTATACTGTGCCACCATATCAGCCGATCCAAACAGATGGAAGAGTGACATATGCCCCCTGTGGTTTCCTCCACTAATGCAAAAAATGTCTTAATGGCATCAAGAGATAGCTCATGATTTTGATACTGGAGTCAGTGCAGGCACTTTGCTGATTAGGTAAGGGATCTGGGGTACAATTAACATGCTGGCTTTATGCTGGCTCATTTCCTATTCTGTTTCTATGCTTTTGTTCCTGACATTGTTCGGTAATAAAAACACCATTGGCGTTTTCTTTTCCAAGGATATCACACATTCCCTAAGGATTGTTGTCCTACATTTGATAATTAAATCTCACAGCACTCTTGAAAAACAAATAAGAGATAGATGGGATCAGTACAGGAATGTCATTCCTCTAGCAGAAGGCTATATTTTAATGGCATGAGAAAAGCTATTGATTGCATAAATCTAAGCTTAACTGGCCCTTTACCTGCTGTGAAATAATCCAGACTTCCTACATACAGTAGTTTAAATAGCCAGTGATACATTTTATGATTGTCCCTCAAAGAGAAATAATAAACATGCATTAGCAAACAAGTCCTCCTAAATCTGTTGGGAAAAAAAACAAGGCTGGTCTGAAGGAGAAAGAGAGGGCAGAAACAGCAAATCATCTTGCCATTTTTCTTACATCTTTGACACATGTGCTCGAGTTTCCTTCATTACATTTGCAAAAAAGAAGTGTACATCCGAATGTTTTATTCATTCAGAAATTCACTAAAGAGACAGACATTGTAATCACATCATGAAATTCTTCCTGGTCTGAAATTTTACAGAGAGGCCGTTGCATTCTTGTTAGTGACCTAAGGAATAGTCATGATACCTGAAATATGTGTGGTTAGAAATAACAGATTGTTCCAAACTGGAAGCACCCTTAAGGGTACAGTTAATTAACTGTTAACACAGCCAAAATCTTCTTGCAAACCTACACCTGTGCAACTCAAAGTTGTACAAGCCATTGTGAAATTTGCAAAAAGGTGGGAGTCTTAGGAAGAAAGGCCCACGGGCAGAGTTACACAGTCACTTGCGTGCTTCGCTGCATGGTTAAGTGCATGGCTTGTTACGCAATCAGACATTGGATAAAATTCTCTATGAACTTATGCAGGCATAACGTTATGCTAAATCTAACCAGCAATTAATTACTGGTGATTTTGATTAATAAAGACATGTTTCTCCTATTCTTCTGTCCATGTGGATACCTGACAATGAATGAGATTATTTGGAACCTGTGGTGGCCTCCGAACAGGAGTGGAAACGACATCATCAGCGTTACACTGATTTGCAAAAAGGTGGGAGTCTTAGGAAGAAAGGCCCACGGGCAGAGTTACACAGTCACTTGCGTGCTTGGCTGCATGGTTAAGTGCATGGCTTGTTATGCAATCAGACACTGGATAAAATTCTCTATGAACTTATGTAGGCGTAACGTTATGCTAAATCTAACCAGCAATTAATTACTGGTGATTTTCAGTAAATAAAGACATGTTTCTCCTATTCTTCTGTCCATGTGGGTACCTGACAATGAATGAGATTATTTGGAACCTGTGGTGGCCTCCGAACAGGAGTGGAAACGACATCATCAGCGTTACACTGCAGAGCTCACACAAACAGGATTTCAGCCACTGAGTTAGACTTCAGAAGGAATGCAGAATGGCTT